TATATATATATATATATATATATATATATATATATATATATCCAAGGGAATTCTTATCACTCTTTCATCATATTGTGCCAGTATTGTCTGAATTCCTATTTTCGTCCATTCTTTGTGGTCTATAAACCAAGTAAACCAAAACATCTTGGTAGAATATTGATTAAGAATGCGTTTCAGCTTGGGGATCAAGTCATATATCTCTGGGTTTGGAGACCTCAGTCTTCAAAGGGGATGCCTCAGTTGGATTATTTTAATAAAAAAATTCAAAGGCAATAAAAATTTTATTCTCTTTTGTTAACCTCCAAATCACCCTCCATTTTTTTTTAAAGTTTAAAATCATTATCTTGGCTGTCATCAATTTCTTACTGTTTTTGTACATTTATGAGTTCTTTTCATCTACCTTTCTGTTAGGTCCCAAGATTATTTCACTGTATATGTGAAATATATGAACATATATATTGAAGGAAGGAAAGATAGATTTTGAAACAAATTTTGAACATTAACCTTTGCAGACAGTTGCATCACTAAAAAAATTAAAATAAGAGGTTTGAAATGGATCATTAACTGCAAATAGCCATTCTTGTAACTATAAATTAGACTTCACATTTTAGAAATTTTTCTTTCCTCACAGTCCCATCATCCAACCATTGAAAGAAATTTAATTTCTAATCTCTTTTGTGTATCCTCCATTCATGCAAAGCAAAAACAAAATTTTTAAAATAACAAAAAAAATCCAAAAACTAAAAAACTTCCAAGTCTCAAGGCTTAACACAAGATGACTAGAAGTCTATGGAGTTATTTTCTCTTTTCATTTTCCTTTGTAAAAATCCCAGAATTCTGACCGGTTGGATAAATGTGATTCCTTTTTTTTTGTTTTGTAATGCGACTATTTTGATGGTTGGCTTCACAGCTGAGGCGAGCCACCATTTCAAACCCAATAACAGGAGACTTGGAGACGGTACATTACAGAATTAGCAAAAGGTAAGAGATGTGTATGTTGCATATTTTGCCCTCTAACGCGTGTTTTGTACATCCTACAGGAATTATTCATTTAAGAGAAGTAGGTCATTTTCAGTCTCCAGCTCAAGTCACTGCCTCTTTATATATGCATGGGTAAAATGCTTTGTGTTTCACGGGTCTTTCCCTTTAACTAGAAGTTCTCTTTAATCTTTAATTGGTCTGTTATTTTTAGGGAATTAATATGCTTTGCATTTCTCTTCAGGTCAGGAATCCAATCTCCAGGAAATGGCTTGATACTTGTTTTCTGTTTCCTTTTTCTTGCCAAAGGGGAAAAAAAAAGAAAAAGAAGAAGCCTGGATTAATCTGGGAGTAGCCTTTGTTTATATAGTTCTCTCACATTCATAAATGCTACAGTGAATTCACATCATCCTTCATGGTGATTGTACTGGCATTTGTTCATTCATCTTGTGAAATACCATTGTCATTTTGAAGTAATCTGTATTCCTCCTGTTGGAGTTATTTTAAAAAACTTGCTGACTTGAAAGCTGGCAATGGAAAGAACAGAGTTATGCTTCTGATCTCAGTCTTCCAACTACTATTATTCATGAACTTAGTTGCCTTTTACTTCTCCAGAGAGACTTAACTATACTTTTATCTCAGTGAGAGTTTTAAAAAATAAATTTAAAGAGACTATTAACTATTCTTTTGTCACAATACTTAAAGGACATTAAACTTCTAGATCTGAGAAAGCTCCTGTGAAACCCAGTGCTATAAATCATTTACATACAGCTTCAAATGATTTAAAAAAAAAAAAAGTGAAAGGACAATAAATCTACAACAAAAATATGTCAACCCATTTTCTCTTGATTTGGAAGTGGCTTTTCATTTATTGCCACCTTTCTAAATGTTTTTGCTGATTTGAAACCATTACCTACCATCCAGACCAATCTGAACTCTTCCAATCACCTGTGGCTTGGCAAAACAAAACAAACAAAAGCCCAAAATTGCCTGCTACGTTAGTAAGTCCTTGTCCTTTCTCTTTTTTTGTAGCTGAGCCGAGCTACAGTACATGACCCTGAGACTGGAAAATTGACCACAGCACAGTACAGAGTATCTAAGAGGTAAGGGAGTAATGGAGAGAATTTTAGTCTTATTTGGACTATTTTCTTTCTTGAGAATCTATTTTAATAAAACCCATGATATGGTTTCTAAGACCTAGGCTTTAAGCATGACAACTATGCCTGAATTTTCATGATAGACTAATAAACAGACATGGTTATGGGACAGTTAACAGAGATTTTCTAGAACTAACTTACTAGATTTCAAAATGCCTGCTGAGACTCCCCAAACTCCCCCTGAAACTGAGTTCCTATATTGAAGTAAGAGAAGTTCCCAAAGAACCATCATAGAAACAAGGCCTAATTTGGCTTCTGCAGTAAAAGCAAAGGTTTAAAAATCTCTAAGTCACCAGAATAGCTATAGGTATTGAGAAAGGGCATGCCTTGAAGGATTCCATAACAAATCTTTTTAAGTCAGTTGGTTTCAAATTCTTTGCTTTTACCAATGTTTAAAGAGAATTTACTTAAGTTATTAGCTGATAGACCACTGAAATAATTTTAACAATAGATTACTGTGTAACTAATGTATATAACTTAGAAGGAATCTGCAGAATAAGTGACATTATTCCAACAGAACTCCTTTTCCATCTACTTATTTACAAAGGAGTTTTCTCAGCTCTCATGAAAATGAAAATAGAAATATATTAAGTTTGGTCTCATTCTAGAAATAAGTAATATTTATCCACGGTTACAATACCTAATTGAAAATAACGAAATAAGCTCCTTCCATCTCATTATATCAATTTATAAAAGTATTTTTGTTGTAGATAAGTATAATGTAATAAAAGACTTCTAGGAATAGAAATGTATATCTCTAGGACAAGGCTTCTCAACCTCAGCATTATTGATGTTTCAGATCAGATAATTCTTTGTTGGTGGTGGTTGCCCTAAGCTTTGTACAAGCTTAGCTGCATCTCTGGCATCCACTAGATGCCAGTAACACCCTTCCTCCCAGTTGTGACAGTCAAAAATGTCTCCAGACATTGCCAAATATCCCTTGGTAGGCAAAATCCATCTCCCACCCCAAAGACTTCACCTCTCCACACATGTTGAAAGCCACTATTCTAGTATAAAAATGGAATGAAAATGCAGTCCAAGAGGAAAAAAAATTTTTGAATATTATTGCTGTAAGTCATAGCAAAAGTACTATGAAGACTGTCAGAATGCATTGTTTCCCTACTCTTTTTTGGGCAAAGCTCTATGTCCTTTATATGGTAATAACCTTCAACATCCTCACACACATTGCTTGGTTTCCTAACTGTCTGCCCTATACTACCTGCCCCCCCCCGCCCCAGGTAGAAGTCATGGAGAAAATTTAATCTCTGTGATATGTCAGGGAGATGAATAAATGGTAAGGATTTGCAGAAACTAATTTGGATAATGTTTTGATACATGATTTATAATGCTTCTGTGCATTGTAATTAACTCTAAATTTCAAGTTAAACTTCAGCTATTTTTCCATTCTATTACAGAATATTATGCATGTGTTGAAAAATAAACCCTTTATTTGTGGGGGTAAAAGAAAAAAATTAACCCATTAAAAATAGTATTTTATCAAAGATTATTTTTATTATATGGTTTTAGGCATTTTTACTGTCATAAGGCTTGTATCTAACTTCTCCAGATTTGGATGCTTTTAGGAAGCACATAAAATAAAATTTTCGTGAACTTAGTTCTTTGGAAGTCCTTTTTGGAAATTTTTTATATATACAATGGACCTTTTGAAGAAATAGCCAGCCCACAGAGTCATTGGACCCTTACCAATAAGGCAAAATAGATTATTCTTGGAAACTTTTTTTTCCTTAAGAACTAAATATTTCTAAACATTTTGAGCTTATTTTTTTAGTATTCTAATTTTATAGCTCTGAGAAGAATTTTATTGGATTTTTTTTAGAAAGACACAACCATACTTTATATTATATAAGGCAATAGAAGTCATTTAGCCAGCAGCATTAGAAGTTTTAGAAAGAAGACTGGGGCGCCTGGGTGGCGCAGTCGGTTAAGCGTCCGACTTCAGCCAGGTCACGATCTCGCGGTCCGTGAGTTCGAGCCCCGCGTCGGGCTCTGGGCTGATGGTTCAGAGCCTGGAGCCTGTTTCCGATTCTGTGTCTCCCTCTCTCTCTGCCCCTCGCCCGTTCATGCTCTGTCTCTCTCTGTCCCAAAAATAAATAAACGTTGAAAAAAAAATTTTTTTTAAAAAGAAGTTTTAGAAGACTAATACCAGAATAAATTCACCTAATCGCAGCAAAGTGTGCAGAGAGTGTGTTTGTTTTCAAAATTACCTAGTAACAGTAGAATTCCACAGCATAGTGATATTTATATTTACCCAAGGAAAATTGTTCAGCAAATCTTTTAAAAATAAAATATATATGTTGAGAGAGGCCGTAACTGTTAAAGAATTGGCTCCATAAAATATCCTATACATTTCATATTTAACAAATAAAAAGTTTTTGTTATTTTAGGAATTCATTAGCTATGCCGAGACGTTTTCTACCCATCAATGTAAAAATCTGAATTTTGAAGATGCCTACAAGTGAAATAAATGTTTTATGTTTCCTTCATACATTATACCTCTGAAAAAGGCATCTCAAATGCAAAGTAGAAGTATTTATGTGTACTGATGTCAGTTAATGTGGTTCCTTTTGCTGTGGGAACATCTGTATTTTGAATGGGTCAGAAAGGAATCTCAAATATCTGTATTTTGAGAAATTTCTCAGTGATTACATCATCTTCTGAGGAAGGAAAATCTGTTCCAGCATCCTAGCAAATAGAATTTTATTTGGGTAAAGTATCTGTGGAAATCCATTACTGTTTATTTATTTTATTGACTTTCTGAACTTTTGGTAAGGCATCTCTGTCCTTTCCTATATTATCCTTTCCGATATTTAAAAAAAAAACAAATCCCAAACTAAAAATTTACTACAGCTTATTAATGGAAATGCTAATAATTTTGGCTGAATCAGAGAAATGGAATTTTAGTTTTGAAATGGTAAACATTGAGTTACTGAAAAGGCAGTTTAGTTATGTGAGTTCATTAAGTCCAGTTAAAATAATATAAAGAGATTTGCAAATAAACAATCCACTTAGTGTAGTAGAAAAAGCTTCTTTGATTCTGGTGGGTTATTTTTGGAAGTAGTTTTCATTTTCTTACTCTCAAGTACAGATTTCCTATAATAATGACATTTTCTTATGCTTGAGATTTAATGTAAATAAGGAACAAATACAATATAAAAGCATATTAATATACTATAGAAGCAAATACAAATATATTTGAATAATTTCAGATATTTTTAAAATTGGAGTCCCTTTTAACAATGACATTACTCTCTTTTGGGTTGAACAGTGGTTCTCAGCTCAGATTAAAATAACTGAAATGGACAGATCTATAGTGTTATTTCATAATTGTCCCACTAAAAACCAAAGGGCTGGGATAAATTTCCAGTCTAGGTGATCAGCATTTCTTTGTTAACCATCAAGCGCTTACAGAGAGCAAAACTTTTTTTTTTTTTTTTAAGACAAGTATTGGGCCGCCTGGGTGGCGCAGTCGGTTAAGCGTCCGACTTCAGCCAGGTCACGATCTCGCGGTCCGTGAGTTCGAGCCCCGCGTCAGGCTCTGGGCTGATGGGTCAGAGCCTGGAGCCTGTTTCCAATTCTGTGTCTCCCCCTCTCTCTGCCCCTACCCCGTTCATGCTCTGTCTCTCTCTCTGTCCCAAAAATAAATAAACGTTGAAAAAAAAAATGAAAAAAATTAAAGACAAGTATTTTTTTTTTTTTTTTTTTTTTTAGTGTTTATTTTTGAGAGACAGCCAATGGGGGAGGGGCCAACAATAGGGGGATAGAGGATCTGAACCAGGGGTGGAACTCACGACCTGGGGGATCATGACCTGAGCCAAAGTCAGCTGCTTAACTGACAAAGCCACCCAGGTGCCCCAAGAGCAAAACTTTTAATAATTCTTGTTTTTGCAAAAAATCACATAGTGGTTTTATATTAGCTATTTGTAAAATGTAAATTTTCACATGTGTTGAGTTAGAAGAAGGTAATGATACTATTCAAATTATACCACTCACATTTTCCTTTGGAACTTTGTAACATTCTCCAAAACCTCCAAAATGAATTTTTCTATTTACTGAACATGAGGTCCTTATTAATGTATTAGAAATATAGTAATGCAGTATGAGAATGTTGTTCCTTAATCAAATAGAGCATTCCAGTGACATTGTAAAATAGCATATATTAGAAGAATAACAAACACTTCTTAATAAAAAAAATTCATTAGAAAGGAAAAAATGTTGAAACATTACTCTGAATATACAACTTAGCTCTTGGGTTCCTGTGATTAAGACCAAAAGGAATATAGTTTGTGTTATCTAATTAGTAACAGAAAAAAGAAACACATATAAAATTATCTGGAGAAAGAGATAGTGTTTTCTCATGGCACTAAATTGTGTTGTATGGAAAAAACACTGTATAACTTAGTTGAAATTTTCTTTTCTTCTTTTTTTAATGTTTGTTTATTTTTGTGAGAGAGAGAGAGAGCATGTAAGCAGGGGAAGGGCAGAGAGAGAGGGAGACAGTGGATCTGAGAGCTCAATGTGAGGCTTGAACCCATGAACGGGGAGATCATGACCTGAGCTGGAGTTGGACACCTAACAGACTGAGCCTCCCAACAATTTCAATTACAGTTGTACAAACAATAAAGAAATGTTCTTCAAATGATTTATCCTGTTACAGCAAATACTGTAACTTTATGTTCTAACTCTGTTGAAAAACACTGAGTACTTAGAAGAGAGAGCCTTGATTTCTTTTGATTTCATTTAGTCCAGGAATGACTTCCAGATTCTAAGGAATAGACAGTTAATCTATAATATAGTATCATTGTCTTCACTGAATTTTTTGGTGGTGTTACAACAATCTAAATTCAGGGCTAATTTCTTAGAGTAGATGATAGGTCTATAATAATGTTGCTGAAGACAGATTAGCAGTTGGGGTCCAGATGAAGAAG